AAAAAAAAAAAAAAAAAAAAAAAAAAAAAAAAAAAAAAAAAAAAAAAAAAAAAAAAAAAAAAAAAAAAAAAAAAAAAGGTGATGTGGCGAGGTGGTGGGTGGGAGGGCGCCATGGCCCTGCCACGTGGCAGTCCCGACTGCGCAGAAAGAAAAATGTTAGACAAAGAAAGAAAGAAAGAACAAAAAAAACAAAGAAAGAAAGACACACACACACACACACACACACACACACACAGACACACACACACACACACACACACACACACACAGACATGTTGGACCATCAGACAGCCTTTCATTCTGGTTCATCCACTTACAGACCAGACAGACAGACAGACAGACAGACAAACAGACGGACAGACAGACAGACAGACAGACAAACAGACGGAGAGACATACAGACAAACAGACTGATTGACTGACTGACTGACTGACTGAATGATTAGACAAGACGACAGACAGACAAACTAACAAACTAACAAACAAACAAACAGACAGACACACACACACACACACACACACACACACAGACACACACAGAGACACACACACACACACACACACACACACAAACAAACACACAGACATGTTGGACCATCAAACAACCTTTCATTCTGGTTCATCCACTTACAGACCAGACAGACAGACAGACAGACAGACAGACAAACAGGCAGACAGACAGACAGACAGACAGACAGACACACAAACAGACAAACAAACAAACAAACGGAGAGACATACAGACAAACAGACAGACAAACGTACAGACAGACAGACATACAAACTAGAGCAGACCGACAGACAGATGGACAGACAGACAGACAGACACAACAGATGGAGCAGACAGACCACATAACTGCTTTGTGTTGTCCATGCATATCTTTGACCTATGCAGGATTTCTTCCTGCGGTAGAGATTCGTCAATGCAACATAGATGATGTTCATCCATTCAACATTATTATTGTTCTTTCTTGTTTGAATAAGAGGGGAGGAAGCAGGATTCAGAATGACCTTCTTCTCTCTCTCTCCCCTCATGTTTAAACATTTCTTTTTGCAATTGGACGTCATTGAACTTTCTACCGACTGAACACTCCGAAATTGGTCAGGACCGCAACACAAAACAGACAGACAGACAGAGGGTGGGAAAGAGAGAAGCGCGTGCACACATGGAAGAGGGAGAAGAGGGGTTGATGCTAACAAACCCAGCATATAAATTACAGGTCACTGGATGAAAGAATGTAGAGCCAAAGAAAGGAAACAACAAACACACTTAGTGTACACTCACATACGGATACTGTGATGGTTTGCGCACATTTCCACAACAACAGAACAGACAGACAATGGGACCTCCACCAAGCCTGTGGCAAGAAAAACAATGACAAAAACCCCTAATTCAACGAGTGGCGTACTTGTACCCAACTTCCGTAGACGTACAACGCACCACGCACCTACAGACCTACACAACCGTCCAAACGACAAACATCTACGAGCGCATTTTGGTAAAGATTTAAAGTATATGCATTCACATGGAAACCTACAGTAAGTGGACCGAAGGCTAAGACACACATTAGATAGACCTCCGGGTGCCAATGAGTCTTCAGAAGGGCGGAAACGAAAAACAAGTACAAGGCCGAAAGACCCGGGACTACGAAAGTAGAGACAACTGGCAACAGGTTCCGCCGTTGCAGCCCACTGAAAGGCCGATCATTCGGAAAGAAAGAAAGAAAGAAAGACTTGAAGAATGGCAAAAGAAGAAAATGAAAATGAAAAAAAAAAAAAAAAAA